CTGGCGCTCAAGAGGTAGAGGAGCCAAATGGCTGGCTCACTGCTGCCAACTAGTGGTCAGAGGCTGAACTACAACATAAAAATGAACGGTTGGCAAGAAAGTTGACATTTTAAACCTTAATTAAAAATCRATACAGGGCTTTAGAATATYGATACAGTATCGTGAAATGAAATATTGCGATATTTCAGTGTATCGATATTTTCTTACACCCCTAGTAGAAACCTTCTGAACAATTGACATTTTGATAGTTGTTAAAACTCTTTGAACAAGACCGAGTTTAGTTGAGACTAAATTAACAAGCAACAAGCTAACGGCTAGTCCAAGCCAGGCCAAGACCAAGGTGGATTGCTATTTATAAACTTTTAAATTGCAGTTCATTTCATATTGTTTTCAAATATTGATGACAAATAATATACATTTACATTTACAAAGTGATGGGAATGACATTTCTCTGGGATCTGGACCATTTAGTTCAGATAAATAAAACTAACTGTTCTATTCAGCTCTCAAACATATTCAAATCTGCAAACACAGCAAATACTTTATGTGTCTGTATCATCTACTACAAACCTGGCATGATAACATACAAAGGCACATAATATTTTACATTTTAGCGCAGGACTTTTTATATGAGAGCTGGTCACATAATGATGATGGTGGTGGTTGTAATGAGAGCTTCMTGTGGGTGTGACTGTGCTTCTGAAGAAACTGTTCTGAAAACTCCAGTCATGGCCATTTTTGTTGAGGTCTCCAAAGCCAGAAAGACAGTCTGAGTGAATGGTCCACAGTGCTGTGAGGTTCTGTTGCAATTTAACATGTTTACATTTATTTATTTTACAATTTTTTTTTTATTTAGCGTTATTTTTACCAGGCAAGTCCCATTGAGATCTCAGATCTCTTTTTCAAGGGCGGCCTGGGCCTGAAGGCAACCTATTGTACATGTTTTTGGGGGGTTGGGGGAAACTGGAGTACCTGGAGAAAACCCACGCAAGCACAAAGAGARCATGCAAACTCCAYGCAGAAAGACCCCAGGTCCGAACCRGGGATCGAACCCARGACCTTCTTGCTGTKGGGCATCAGTGCTAACCACTGAGCCATCGTGCTGCCAAACATGCCACATGTTTGAACATGTTTTCCAWACACATTACAAGTGATGTGGATGGACAGTTTTGTAATGTTTTTTTTATAGTGCAGTGTTTTACAAACAAAACCTAATAAAGAAATTAAATGTTACAGTAATGTGCAGGTGCAAAGAGCAGTAGTAAATAGTTGAAGGAATTTGGGTGTAGCCTATGGTCTCTCTGGTGGGAATAACCAAATTAAAACAAATGATGGTGGCGTAAAAGTATTCAAAATAGCACTAGGTGCAATTAAGATGACATTGTTTAGAATGAAGTTGTTTTAAATTGGCAGCAATCCACTTTGGTCTTGGTCTTACTCACACAAGCCATTACAGTCGTCAGAATTAAACTTTATTTCTCCAAAATAAGGCAATTCATAGTGCTATCTACAACAGGTAAGATATTAATTGTTTTTAATTTTTCCATAGAAACCCGCTTCAAAGTATCTGAACTTTCAATCTAAAACTAACTCTGATTTTTTTGTGTTTGTGATTTCTCAAGTGTCTTGTTCTCACCAGTCCTTCACTGGGCATGATGCTGGTAAGGTGGACCACCTCCAGATGGGCTGATTGAGAGACCAGGGAGTCCGATGACAGGGAAATGATGTGGTCGCAGATGCCTGCTAAGGTCTTACACTGCAAACAAAGACAAAAAAAAAGGAGTGGGACAAAAGAAAAATGACAGAGAAAAAAAAGTTTAAAAAAAGGGACAGAGACAAAAAGTTCTTGAAATTGGTTTTGGTCTGCAGGGAAAGATGGGTCTTAGCTGGARGAGGTGAAACAGACATCATTTCATCAGACTGTTCTACATCCCCACTGCCATCACTCCATCACACAAACTGTTTCCTGTCACAGTCTGTCCACAGGCGTGCCCACAAGACACCTCCACCGACAGAACAATGGATCACCAACACTAGCCAGCCTGGGGAACCGAGTTGACATTTTTTTAACATCTCAGTTACAAAGACTTGATTTTATTTGTTGGCATCAGTCATGTTTGTTGAGGAGGAAAAAGCCAATTTTGCCTTAAGTTCAATAATGCCACGAGCAGGCAGAGGGTACAGGAACTGTCATGTTTACACTTTACATATGGATTTTATGTAGCAGGATATAGTGAAAACAATCTGGTCTGGTTCTTCGTCGGCACCTGGCAGCTACTTTCCATTTAATTCTATAGAAGCATCAAAGGTGGACCAAGTTTTTTCACCCAAAGAGTTAACACTTTGTTATTGTTTAGTGAAGCCCGGATGTTTTTTATTCATGATGTCCTGACATGTAAAACCCCTTTGCTTGGTCACACGTGCACAGCAATTTATTATGTCGACCTTCTAATCTTGCTCGAATTGCTGCAGCGGCGTTGCAGTCAGCGTGGTCCTRGTTATCCCGCCTCATGGGTTATTCAGGCTCATCGCCGCTTTAGTTTAAAAATGCATGAATCCAAAAAAACGTAGCGGGCACATACTGTATGTTGCACAAGAGAATACAGTTTGCATTCACAAATAATATAGTAATTTCAAGGTTGATGACCTCATTCTCTGACAAGTCTTTTTTATGTTTCCATTATTTGTCTTCATTTTATGTAAATAGATCTGTGTCAAAAATAGGCAGAGCTATGTTTTGAGGTTTAGTTTGAGAAGTAGAAGACACTTTTTTATGTTTGCAGAGCGTAGA